TGACAGCGTTACCGGTGAGTATTTTCACTTATTCTGGTGAAGTGGTTGGTTGAGGTAACCCTTAAGCCATACCGTACCGTCTGGAACAATAAAAAATCGCAGAGGTTTTCCAGATATGTGGTGGAACATTCAAGACCCAGATCGAATTGTTTCATCTGGCAAAGACGGACTATTAGTGCTTCATCATATGGATCAGAAGCAGTCCCCGTTGTCGTACGCCTGTGATATGGCGCTAGACCTTGCTCCTGATGGTTTAGTTGGAGTTGCTGGTAAGATAAAGCTGGTAGTGCTACAATGAACCTGCTGAAATAATTCATTTCCAGCAAATTCTCACATTCCGATAATAAGCATCAAGAGCTGTATATGGCAAGAAAGGTGAGAGACTTTATCTATACGTAAGAATGGGTAATATGTTTTTTGGGCTTGTTCCTCTGCTGACTTCTAGCATTGAAGGCATTTACATGTACTTTGGGGCTTTTGGGTGTAACTGCGTACACAGGTGTCAAAGGGTTTCCTGCCACAGACTGCTCTGCCATTTTGCTTCTGAAATCTACTTTTCGACTGGCGGTGGATATTTCTGTTGGTTTAGCAAAATCGATTTGATAATTGTTCGGCTTTTGATACAGTCTATGGGCGCATTTTGGCTTGGTGTGGGCATTTTGCTGGCTCTTATCGATGAACTCCGATTCGTCCTGTGATTATCTGTCAATCCTCGTAAAACTGCAATAGCAGGACCTTCTTCCACAATTGACAAGAGTTCACAGGTGCCACGAAGATGAAACGTATACTTCAACATAGCTAGCAAAGGAAACTAGCGAAAGTGCGACATGCCCCCCACCCCCTCTAACTAGAAGTAGAAAAAACAAAATATTGGAAAAGAAAACACTCTAAAGCACAAATGATCTATTTCGCTTGTTCCTTTAGATGAATCAAAGGCCGAATAGCGCCATGTAAAGGCGTCTGGGGAGGGCTTGTCCATGGGATTAGTTATGAGCACAGCTGCGACTGCTTATCTGTGGGCAGCTGCCGGTCCTGACAAGGGGTCGGGAGTGCACCAACATTTCTTTTGCCGTTTGCCGTCCGCGCTCTGTTATGCATAGATCTTCGACATGTATGCCTCAACTAGCAACGTTCCAGCGCTATTGCGCTCGGTAGTCCGTACGACACGACACACCCTCTCAAGGCGCTGGGATCATCGACCGGTTAATTCAACTCGAACTTAACTTTAACTTTTGAGATAATGTCAATTTCAGAGACAACCGTATGACCCTTTCCGCACTCCTGTGCGTAGCCAACTTTCATGCGGATTGCCAGATAACGCCATGAATACTCTGCAACCGTCGGCATTTTATAAGTTGGCTGAGAAGTAAGTTTTGGATGTTTTCTTCACTTAATGGTTATTACATTTCAACGGTTATCCGATGGTGTTAGATCAAAGTACTGGCGGAACTTGGCTCTCTTTCCAGATATTTGGCTGGAGGTCGCCCATTGCGCACTTTATGTAATCACAATGCGAATCTGGCCATGCATCTGGGACAGTCTAGTGTTGCTCAAACTTGGCGATTAGTCGGAGCCCTTTTGGAACAAACAGGCCTGCAGAAGGTACACATTTCTTTGGTTTTCTTGCTCGAAACTCGCAGCAAGCAGATGAGAAAAGTAACATTAACAGAACCTCAGCTACCACAGCACCTGAAGGAACAAATGTACGGGGGACTAGAAAACAACTGTGTGAAACCAATGTAACCTGCGGCTGGTTGGTTTTAGCCATCCTTGTCATACTTTCAGCCGTCACGTCCAGGAAGATATAAAAAGGTTGATTCAAAGACAAAACTGCATACTCTGCTTCATGGGTCTGGTCCTTGCTTTGGAGTGAGCTGCGGTAGCACTAACTCCAGAGCGAATCCGCTCGAAAGTGCGGCTCCGTGTACAAACTCACCCGTGCGCGTATGCGGCGCGGTTTCTTCACGGCACCGCGGCGACGGGCGGGCGAAGGGTGATCGCTTGCGCCTCCGCCACTGTGCTTCAATCAGAAGCCCCTTTTATGCCCCATTATGTGGAAGGAGGAGGAGAGAAAAGAGGATTGAACAAATAGTGAACGCTCATAGGTGAGTTAGTGGTAATGGTGAGCAGAGAATACAGAAAAGTCGAGAATCAGAGCGTATTATTTCATTATTTCAGTCAACAGCGGAACTGGCAGAATGATTCCCTTCGAATGGGACGTGACGTTATAGCGTTATAAGGTCACAACCAACTGTTGGCAATTTGCCAAACCTCAGCTTGAACTTTCGTGTAAAAGCTGCTTGCGTCGTTTCACAATCGAAGGGAACTATGCCGCCAGTTCTGCCATTCACTGAAGTAATTCGTGATAGTCGACTTTTCTGTGATCTCCTACCACTACCACTCACATATGCACCCACTATCTGTTCAATTCCCTTCCTCTCTCTACTTTTCCCTCCTCTTCCTTCCACATAAAAGAGGCTGCTGGATTGGAGCACAGCGCCGGAGACGCGGGCCATCGCCTTTCGCTCCGCCCTGCCGCCGCGGCGCCGTGAAGAAACCGCGCCGCATGGGTAATTTTTCCCTCATCCGTAAAAGTGCACGGGAAGTAGGGTAGTGATAGCGGGTGTGGGCCGTTTTATACCCTCGGGATCTTGGTGTCGATGCAAGGGCGCACGTTGAGGATAGCTGATTTTCAACAAAATTTTTCCGATTTCAATTCGCACTTTACGACCGATGAACAGCTGTCTCGCGGCTTACGGTTGCCCTTGAAAGTTGAAATTTTCGAAATTCAGGTCTACGATCAGGATGCCAGGGAGGCTGTGACTGCATACAAAGAGAAATATGACAAGTAAGGCATAAGCAGCTCAGCAGTTTTGCGAATTAGGAATTGTTCCCTACTCAAGGATTCCGTTGAAGATATGTGAGTGAAATGGAGCGACATGGCAAGAAAGTGCCCGAACCTCCTCATACATTAGCCGTAATGCCAACTCATCTCACACGATTTTCAGGGAATCATTCTAGATTGTATCGAAAAGAAGGTTAGTTGTGTGATCCTGCGATTAAGTTGAATTTTTTTCTGATAATGAGCAAAGGCGATACCGTACTGTTACATGGGGAACGATCAAAGTACAGTTTTGTTTGCTGTGAATGCTGGGGCGTGTCAGGGGAGTGGGTTTGGCGTGGTGCTGGCCTGTTCTCCACAATCGTTGGAGAAAGGCGGCGTTCCAGATGGAAAACGGGCTGGCCTACTCCAGACTTCAGCCTACCTGACACATCTTAGCATCCACACCCAGCGAGACCACGCCTCTATACCTTTCTTTTTCTTGAATATCGTCGTGAATGTATTCTTTTCCTTTATCAGTACGTAAGCTTTTTGCCCTCAAATTAACTAGATGTCGTTCCAGCGCGTCTTCCATCTAATGTCGATCAGAAGTACTCCGAATTTACCCCAAGCAGCATAGCATCTGGAGATTTTTATTTTGGTGCTGGTGAGCTAACGAAGACAACGATAGAAAAGGGAATGTATGTTTTATATCATTGAGTAATGAGAATTCATTTCAAGAACGGATTTATACTCTGATTATGATCGTTGTGTGCTCATTCTGATGTTGATTCTGATTTTATGCTTCGATTTTGAAGCATGAGCCTTACGCTGTTGGTACACTCTAGTCCGCTGCGGACGGTTGGGCGTGTCAGCCAGTATGAGTGTGTCACCCCGTCAAAGCCTTTTCTCTGCCTTCTTGTTGAAGCGCGCATGCGACAAAAAGAAGTAGAAAACGTAATACGAAGGATATGATAGTATTGTCACTTGCCCGCTTCAACAACTGGTGGAGAACGAGTTTGGCACCGCGCCAAACGCAGCCGCACTGACACGCCCAACCGTCCGCAGCGAACTACACTATATATTCACCGGCCTCTATAGATATTTCCACATTTTCAGCGAAAATCCACACTACAACGACTTCACAGGTTTGAAGGATGAGGCATTTGCGCTGAAACCAGACCTGACGAAATCGATGTTTATGTCGATGACAACGTCGGATGATGACGGTCAGTTTTTGCTGTTTGTTTATTTTTGCATTTCTCAGTCAAATATCAGTGTAGTTTGGTTATTGCAGTACTATTACCTTTTGCTGGCCCGGCTCTGGATATCCGAGTCGGTAAAGAGTTTACCCCAAGTTTGACCCCATGAATCTTTGATCAATACGAAAGCGCCTCGCGCTGAAGCCAATTTCGAGCTTCGGCGCCTGTACCGCGTACCCCAGCAAAGTACTAAGGCAGCGTTCAGACTTCGCGACGGCAGCGCTTCGGTCGCGCGTTCGACGCGATCGATGCAGTCGAAAGCATGCGCATCGATCGCGCCGAACGCGCGACCGAGGCGCTGCCGTCGCGAAGTCTGAACGCTGCCTAAGGCAGCTGGGGGAGGGGGCACACGACAGGGCCTCTCTGATAGCAGTGTCTCTTTTGTTAAGGCTTATCCTCAACAGAGGAAGGGGTTACTGCTTCAGAGGAATGGTTTAGACAAACAGAAAAGTTATGGCCATTAGTTGGAAGGTCGATTGTCTCTAGAAGAAGCCTGCCCCCCCCCCCCCAACAATCCACCTCACGCCCTCTGCTCTCTCTGAAATGCTTTCAGACTTCGCGATCGCGCGTGAATGCTGGATTTATAACCCACAAGACAGATCATGTGGTGATTTTTGGATGTTTTGACGACATGTGTCTGTGGTGCGAGCGCCAAGCGATTCCGTGCCAAGCGGATGTGATATTCGTGTTCAGGGGGTCAAACTACGTCGAGGTCAAGTTTTCAGCCAAAGGTACCACGGCAGGAAAATCGGTAAAAATGTGGTTCAGTTTCCAAAGAGTTGCGCAGTAAGGGTGCTATCATCAGTATCCTATGTCGATTTTTGAGAAACATTTTGCACCAAGTGGTGGAGGTAATATTCAATAGTTTTCGAACTTGGTCTTAGCTCAGAAACTAGGACTGGATTGTTCATAGCCCTACTGGGACAGTGCATTAGTAGGATCATTCATCAGAAGCGGTATTTGCAGTATAAGTTTCAGGGCGGCGAGTTTCAGGGTGGCGCGGAGGGTAGTGCAGTGACAAGTGGCGCGCTTCCCACTCGCGCGGGCGCCGGGTTGAATCCCGGGTCGACTCCCGCCCAGGCCAACCAAGCCTTACCCTCCGGGGACGGTAAATTGGTACCAGATTCGTCTGGGAGGATAAAACACTGACTTGTACATCGGCTGGCCACCGCAAGTCATTGTATAGGCCACATCGCATTCAATAAGCCACTACGATTCTGAATGGAAGTAGAATGCGTGCCGCATCCCACAAAGGGATTGATCAACGGCGAAGACTTTATCCTTTTTATCCTTAAGTTTCAGGGCACCTGGAGAAGGAACATATTGCGCGGATGAACTGGAATCCAATGCAAGAAGTAGCTAGGCTGCTCCATTACCATGCTGATCAGGTGCTTGAGTCCTCCTTTCGGTTTCTTATCCTCAGCCATCTCGGAGCAGCTTCAACGCCAGAGTAAAATAATAATAAGGAATAATAAATAATAGATAATAGTAACAGTAAATAAGTAATAGGTGAGGGAAATGAGCGAGTACCTTTTTCATCTGCCTTTGTTCGCCCCTTGGTCATGCTTTTCCAGATTGACTGATGAGATCTCCGCCCATTTTTCTTTTCATGGCCAGATTACTGGGGTGCTGAGGCTGCACCAATATTCCAAGTCGTTCTTCAACTTGTGGTGTTTAAATATCGTGTTTTAGGGTGATATGCAAACATGTGCAACCCTTGCACTCGTCTGTGGACGACGCCTGTCGGATGTTGTAGATGACTTTACGGTGGAGTCGTGGAAAGGATAGCTATATAGGTAGGTATTTCGTGGTGATATTGCTGAGAAGAGCGGAAGTTTTATGAGAGAAAATAGATTAATAAAAACCGTAAGATAATGAAGTGAGGCTAATCAATAAGATAGGTAATAATCTTTCTGGAGTAGACGAAGTCAACAAGATCGCATATACTGTTGGTGCCGTGTTACTGCGCATTGTAAATGGGGCAGTAGGTGTGGCGGTACGAAAGGCTCTGTAAACCGTTTTTTTGTGTTGCAATAACAGTGCTTTCAGGCATGTTGGATCAGCTGGAACTTCATACAGCAATAGCAGCTGTGAAGAAAATATTCTTGGATCAAAAGAGTTAACCAGCGGTCCTTAGAGGTATGCGAGTTTCACTGCTCTTTTGATAAAGAACAAATTCAGTGTGCATTTAAGCAACACTAACCATAAGCCTGTGGGGCATCCTGTGCGAATGATTTCCGCCTCAAAGCGGCAGTTGTCCCGCTTCCTTCACAGTGTTTACTGCCAGAGCACGCTATACTTTGGGCAATCCTCAATGGGGAGGGCAGACGTAATTGGCCTGGGAAGAACTTTTCGACTGTTGGCTTTTCGCGTTCCAGGAGCGTTGTACACCCTCCTAGTCGGCAGCGCCGCAAACTAGTATTACTGACGGGGAACTTCGTACTGTGGAGGTCCTCAGTTAGGAGGTCGTTTGGTCGCTAGAAAGCGGAGTGAGCCCTGTTCGCTTCTACGATAGTTTCTGGGCAAGAACTGAAGAATTAAAAAAAAAAACCTCGGAAAAGTAGTATTAAGTGGGACAAATTTAGGAGTATGTTAGGTAAGATCGGGAATGGGGAAGGAGGAGGGTCGTGTCAGAGAAGGAAATTTCGACGGGCTGGATTTTTAAGGGAAATTGGATAGGAGCGTAAATAGGGTGTGAGAGGGGGGGGGTCATATTTCGGAGAGCCCTCGTCCACGCCAAGACGTGCGCGTTAGACCGCGCCCATTGAGCACCGCCCGCGGGTGTCCCGCCCACATTAGAAATGCAAATTCAAATATTCGTAATACTGTCAGTGCTATGCATGTTGAAAAATCGCGAAGATATCAAAAATGTTTTCATATAAAGCTCATAGTAAATCCTTCAATCGATGATAGAGTGATGATATTCTCAAGGGAACTCATTTTCGTCTTTCTCATCGCGGATGTACTGGTCAAGCGTTGAAGTGTCGATGCGTCAAGTGTTATGCTGTCTGTGGTGGAACGTGTTCAGTGTGGTAAGGACGATTTCCATTATTAGAGCCTCACTCAACTATTAGTACCCCCAAATTTCAAACATCCCATTGCTGGAACTCTGATTGTGGGAGCTATTCTGTGCCCTGTTCACGAACGTGATATTTATCTTCAGGGGCGACACCATTGACGCCAATTTGGCGGTCCATCTTTCACACCTAAATCATTACAAACTTGTATGTGGAGGAGGGGGGGGTATTTAACATCCTGATAATGAATATGAAATCATCCTCGGCGACGGCGCTAAAGGCACTACGATCATCCGCGTTCTGCTAAGGTCGAGCCTGTTGGGAAGGGAAACACTACTTCTCCCGATCTCAGCTCTATTAAACCTCTTGCATTGTGATGGCAAGCAATTCTGATGTTTTTCAGTGAAGGACCACTATTGAAAATGAACTGGTTCTGTCGCAAATGTCACCATGCTGGACATCCACATCATATATTGGAATGGTTTACGGTTAGTTACGTATTTTTTAGTTTTTTTTTGTCAGATTCTTATATCAGAAAAAGGACTGGCATGTTTTGACAGATGATGCTGACATAACCATCAAAATCTTGCCCTAGAACTTTGTAAAAGGCGTCCTTCTATAGTTGTTCTTAAAGGCAAAGCCCGCGACCACAGATTGTGGGTAACGGAACCCACATAGGAACGAAAAAGGGCTAGGTATCTGATTAGCGGAGAAAAGCAGCCGAAAATGCCCTAAATAGGATTCCATATCGACCCCAACTTGTACATGCATGCAATGAAGAAAACGCATGTTTGTACGAATTTCCACTCGTCGTTATCATAAAGATATCAGCTCTTTTATCGTATCACCTCACTCTCACCATTCGGAATGGAGAGAGATAGCATAGTGGCTACTAGCTAGTAGCTAGCAGCCGGTTGGGGTCGGCATGGGCCTAAGGGGCGCCAATGGGCCTAATTGGTTAGCTTAAAGCGGAATTCTTGCCGATTTTCACTTTCTAAAGGTAGCGCAGCCTCCGCAATCTCCTTCCGGATCGTCTGACACATTTGAAAGGTCATAGCCTTATTTTATCGCGGAAAGTGCCTTTAAGTGATTTGTATTTAGGTCGGTTAGCGAGGCACTTGAACCCTACCCTTTGAACACGTTGAATCGCGTTTTTGGCTTTACACATTCCAGCTTTTCTCCCATATGATAAGTGACTCACCCACCCTGGGTGCGCAGCGTCAAGACCGTTCTCTGCCTGCTTGTTTGAGCGCGCATGCGACAAAAAGTGGTAGAAAAGGAGTAGTACGATCGATATAATACAGTCATATCATTTGTTCGCTTTAAAAACTGGTGGAGAAAGGGTTTGGCACCGCGCCAAACGCAGCCGCACTGACACGCCCAACCGTCCGCAGAGAACTACACTATATCATATGTGAGAAAAGCTCCCCTTGGAAAAGCTCGTTTTCTGGCTCGCCATAGTTTCTGCAGTCTGGCTCGCCATAGTTTCTTGCACGTCTTGATGCCTTGGCAGGCGATGTTCTGTATGTCTGCGTCTCTTGGTTTCGCAACAGGACCACGCACGCACAAAAGTTCAAGATGTCACGTAACCGGTGATGATAAGATGATGATTAAGACACGTCATCCAGTGAGTAATCCCCAGCGGGGTTCATATAAGGTTGCCGAAGGAAGTGAGTTTCTTTTTGGCCTGACAAAAAAATTTGATTGTGGTAGCTTGTCCTTGAGAGTGTCACATCTAATTGGCGTGAATACGTCTGGTACCCGCGCCATAGATGCAGAAGAAAAAACTTGAGCCACCAAGTTCGCCAAAAACTTGTTTCCATAAATAGTTTGCCCACACCCACCTCTCCTCCGGAATTTGCATATGCTCGGCGCAAAAACACACCGCTCGCGCGCCACAGCCGCTGGCATGTATACCGCGAGCACCAGGTGTTTTGGCCCGAAGCGGGTATCGTATTCGTGTTCAGTGGGTGCAACTTTTCCCGTAAACAGAATCCTGGAGGAATCCAGTCTCAGAAAAGACTACTCGAACCGGCATTCATATTTCTATCGTGTGAATATGGTAGGGACTTGAGAAGAAAGAGTCTGTTTTTGTGGAACGCCTTCTTGAAGTCATCGGGGCAGTTTGAGTGCACAGCTTACTCAGGCAAGGTTTGATAACAATCCGATGTTGAGATAAAATTTTCCACCCCCTAGTTGGGTCTGGTGCTAGCGAACTGACCCTAGCGTATACCTGGCCTGGGCAGATTTGGATTCCCAGATTGTGGTGTGCCGCCTTTTAGACACTGTGCCCTCATCGTCAGCATGCCAATACCTGACGAATAGTTTGATCGGTAATTCTCTATAAGCTCTATGAGTAGGGCATCTACCAATACCGCGTTCACAGAGTCTTTTGTTACTTCCCTACTAAGTTTTTACTTGGTAGAATTCGTGCTGTTCAGTTACGTTGTCTGTCTAAGAGTCTGATACATTTTGAGCGGGTTCGCTGGTTTCAGACTGAACGTACTTGCCCTGTTGGTGACTGCTCGTGCGAATGTGGAGCGGCCGTTGTGCAAAGTCCTGAGAAAAGGAAAGTAGTAATACCCAAAAGGACTCGTCGTGATTTACTGCGGAAGGTAGGGTTTTTGAGTTGTCATAATCAGTGGTTGTCAAACATCGGATAATTCAAATGGGTGGTTGGCTTCTGTTTTAATTGCTAGGAATTTCAGCGCGAAACTAACTGTTACCAGCCCTCGACATCGTCAGTTCAAGTTCAGTATGAAAGCTCATCGGAAGAAGACAGTGATAGTACTTTCAAGGTTGACGACGTGGCCGAGAACACGTCCATGGCGCGATTCTGCATTGGAAAGGTAAGTTACTGAGTTTTAGTTTTATTCGAAGTTTTTTGATTGATGGTGAAGCTGGAGGAATCCCACTGCCTTATTGGTGAATTGTCACAGAGTCACCGTAGCTCAACCTTCTCCCTCCCGTGAATGCACCGGGATATCTTAAAGACAATTACCGCGATAAAGTGTTCGGGTAATTGGTGCCCAGTAACGAAGCAGTGGCCCATTTGTAACCCCCCAGTGGAAAAAAACCTCGCGAACACCCGGAACACGGACCTCCCTTTAGCAGTGGGGGCGGGGCCTGGACGAGTGTGCCGGACGTGGCTGCCAGAAATCGATGCGGCAGCCGCAATTGCGTCCCGACTTTCGAAATAGGATACTTTAAAGGGACGGAAGCAGCTCGGGACCGGACGCCTCGTCCACCTACCGTGTCAGCGAGCCTAGCGAGCCTTGTGGAAATCGCTATAACTTCCTCATCGCGCCATATTGAGGGATGAAAGTGCTATCATCTTCGTCAAGGCGTAGAGGGTTCCAAACAGCACGAATTCATTTTGAGGACCACTTTATCGCGGTAAGTGTCTTTAAGCTTGGCCACTATTTTGTCCCCTCCCCTGCGTAGTGATTACCGTTGCAGAGGCAGTGTACGGTGGCAGGACGGTTAGATAGTGCGCCGGGAGCTGTTTACCTAATTATCCTCTGCTGTCAGCGCCTTGTCCTTTCACTCACTGATAGTGCCACCCCTTAGTTGATTGCGGCACGTGTACCTCATACAACGAGCGACATTTAATTACCTGCTGTGTTTTTCGGTTTTTCAGAGGAATTCATTGTTTGAAGGAATCCTTTGATTATCGTAAAACAATCACTATCACTACCACACTATCATCTAGGACATGTGGGAAGATCAAGTGTACGGGTTCGGTCGAGCCTATGCGAAATTAATCGGAAGAATGCTGAGTTATGGGCAAAAATCTTGACCCAGTTGAGACCAGAACAACTTCACGCGCTGATCGGGGCGCGAGTGTGCTAACACTTGCCACCAGGGTCGTCGCTCTTAGGCTGCGTTCATAATTGGGAGCGTCCACCAGCGTCTCCCAGCGTTTGACGTCTCGAGGGCCTGGGAAGACTAGGTATGGATCTAGCGTTTACCAGCGTGTGCCAGCGTCCATTCGCGTTCACCAGCGATCGGGAGTAGAGATATGAGGAAGAAGGAGGGTAGCAAACGGCTCGAGGAGTCGTCGTGAATCCTCTCAGCTTGTAAGGATGGCACATTGTACTGAGGTGAGGTGCAAGCTGAGAGGGCTGTATGTTGGCAAAAACCCGCTTACCGGCTGAGGTCAAGTCCTGTGTCCTCCCCCACCCCTCCGCCCTGCCAACTAAGCCGATCCTTCTTCAGAGGTTGACAAAGGTGCCAGACTCGTCGTGGTGATAGAAACAGTATATCGGCTAGGCCCTGTAGCTCGTTGCATAGTCCGAGTAAGGCCGCGTTCATAGCTTGCGTTCGTGAAGAAATGCAGAAATGCGGAAAATGCAGAAGTGCGGAAAGTGCAGAAGTGCGGAATCTGCAGAAAAGCAATAGATACGTTATCGACTTGAAGAAATGCAGAAATGCCGAAACTGCAGAAGTGCGGAAAGTGCAGAAATGACGAAAAGCATTACATACGTATCGATTTGAAGAAATGCAGAAATGCCGAAAGTGAAGAAGTGCGGAATCTGCAGAAATGCCGAAAGTGTGGAAAATCGATACGTATCGGTTGCTTTTCTGCACATTCCGCACTTTCGGCATTTCTGCAGATTCCGCACTTCTTCACTTTCGGCATTTCTGCAGATTCCGCATTTCTTCACTTTCGGCATTTCTGCATTTCTTCAAATCGATACGTATGTAATGCTTTTCGTCATTTCTGCACTTTCCGCACGTCTGCAGTTTCGGCATTTCTGCATTTCTTCAAGTCGATAAGTATCTATTGCTTTTCTGCAGATTCCGCACTTCTGCACTTTCCGCATTCTCTGCATTTCTTCACGAACGCAAGCTATGAACGCGGCCTAAAAGTGAAGAGCCACTTTGATCTTGACAGGAAGTAGAATACGTGGCGCATTTCTAAAGAAAGTTGATCAACCACTAGTAAATTACTCGTCATTATCTGCAGTTGAAACATGAACTTTGCATTTCCAACTTTTCTTGTGGATTCACCTTTATGAAACGTTTGCCATCACGATTAATTAACGAGAATGTTTTTTTCTCCGAATGCCAGCGGTTTTTCAGTTATTTTTTATATGTGTGGAATTCCACTGTTCCAGATGCCACTGGATACGTTGAAATCCGGCTCTTCTCAGTCACCTGGTAGAGAAGAGAAGCCGGAACAAGAGAGAAGTTCAACGCTACCGATTGAACATGACCTTCAAGAGGTATGTCACATTCGGTTATACCGTACTTATTGCATAGTAGGCATTTGAAACTGAAGGTATTTGGAAGTTGAAAAAAAGAAATGAAAAAAGTTCCGCAGAGCGGTTGACGATAGAGCGCGTCCAACGTGGAGGGTCCCCTTCGAGCGGATGCTATTGGTTCGCTGGGGAGAGGGGGGATATTTGTCTCTGTGAAAAATGTTCTTGGTTCCTCACTTTTCTTCGCTCGTCAGCGCTGTACCCCCCCCCGCTACAGCTGCTGTTCGGGGAAAACGCGACGGCATTTTCCTGGGAGGACCTGGAGAATTTTGTGAAAAAAAGCAGAAAGTGTTGGGGTAGAAAGTTTGGAAGGGAGATGATAGGTACGATAGGGATGAGAAAGGAGGGGTCGTGAAAGAGGAGCAAATTTGAGGCTGATTGGCGATGAGCTGGTTCCGGGCATTGCGATTTTTGACATTCTCTTTCGCATTCGCGAACGTGCCATTCATTCCATGAGTGCAAGCTTTTGTAATTTCATGTACA